AAAGAGTCCCGGCCGGATTCTCAGAGCGCCCAGAGAGCTCTTCGAAACCTAGGGTGGGCGGGGCGAGGGAGAAGGGGCGGAGACCGTGGCGCGGAGGACGACGGGAGGAGGGAGCTTGAGCGACCGCGCCGCGTTTGTGACGTACGCGGCGAGTTAGTTGTGGAGGAGGCCGGTTAATAGTGCTCCGCGGCTCAGAGAAAAATATTCCCCTGATGAGAAGACTGAGAAGCGAGTGGAGAAAATGAGTTCCCAAGTTTTTCTCCTCATGCGTGTCGTATGTTGTGCATCCTGCCCCTCAGACCGGGATCAGAGCCTTTAGGCGTGACTCAGCACGTAAAAAAGGAGTACACCGGAAGTATTTTTCTTGGCCGCCGGATGGAAACTGCTGGGGAGTGGAGGGGAGCTAAGCTGAGCGCTGGAAATAGCCGTTGTGCTTCTCCCCGTTATCGCCTGCCAAACTTTGGTGCTATTCGCCCTCGTGGCCTAAGAAAGTGCTTAGAAGATCGGTGTAGATGTGCTCACTCTTCTAGGAGAAAAGATTCTTTTAAGCTCCCTCACAAGACTGGAGTCCACAGTTAGCATTAAGCTCAGCCAACTTTTTATTGAGCAGCTACAGCGTGTCAGGCTTCTGCCAAGTCCCTTTTACCAGAGTTTTTTCTGCTTGTAATGGCCTTTGGTGGGCAGTCATCTGAAATGTAACTGAAACAGACGTACTTGAAAAATAAAAAGCAACTAACATGTTAAGATGCAATACACTGGGGCCGGCCCAGTGGCGCAGTGGTTAAGTGCGCAGGTTCTGCTTCTAGGCGGCCTGGGGTTTCCCGGTTCAGATACTGGGTGTGGACATGGAACCGCTTGGCAAAAGCCATGCTGTGGTAGGCGTCCCATTTATAAAGTAGAGGAAGATAGGCATGGATGTTAGCTCAGGGCCAGTCTTCCTCAGCAAAAAGAGGAGGATTGGCAGTAGTTAGCTCAGGGCTAATCTTCCCCCACCCCCCAAAAAACATGCAATACACATACCATGCAGCAAGAGATCCTAGCACATAAAAAGAATATCTATGAATGAATGGAGAAAGACTTGAAGCAGGGAGAAGTGTTGATGGCTGTTACAAGTTTTTAAGTTTTTCTAGGCCTCCCGAGCTTGCGATGTGGAATAAAATCATTGAAGTTCTTGCCTTATGGAGCTTGCATTCTAGTGAGGAGAAACAGACAATGAAATAAATGAGATATTTTAAAACTATGCTAGGATGACAAATAATGGAGGACAGGAGAAGAAGGAGTTGGGAAGGAAAAGTGCAAGGATTCAGGAAGGAGGTGATGAAAACCTGAACTAGGGCAGCCGATGAGATAAATTAATTGAAAAATATTGTTCAAACATCCCAGTTTGTTTTCATACATCTTTTCAAGAAACTGTCAATTTTTAAACTAAGCAACTCCACTAGACTGATCTCCTTCAGAGCAGTATTTTTTCTTTGTATTTCCAGTCCCTAGCATGGCTTCTTAGTACCTGGTAAAGCAGTCACTAATTGCTGTTGAATAAATACGAAGTAACACGTCTATTTTAAGGATTGGTTTCATTTGTTTGTTTTCTTACTCTCCAAAGCAAATACAGTAAGAAATCTTCAGATTCAGCCAGTAAGAAGAATTTTTTAACTGAAAACGAACACATCATAAAGTATGACATGTTAGTTTTTCCCTTGTAAAAGAGGCCTCTGAATCTTACAGGTAACTAGACTATAGAAACATGATAACAGTCTATGGTAAGGCATTCATTTATTCATTCAATCAACAAATTGAGCTCCTAATATGTGCCAGACACTGGGAATAGAGTAATAAACAAGAAATTTCCCTGTTCTCTTGGAGCTTACAAGAAAACTGGCCTGGGAGATAGTAAACAAGCAGCACATTTTTAAATTTATCATTGTGAATAGTTCTAGAAGGAAAAATATGGAGGGACCTAGTTGAGTCAGAGAATTTTTCTAAACAAGAGACATTTAAGCTTACATTTGAAAAATGTATAGGAATTGATATAGGAATGTACAGGAATATACTTTTTTTTTTTAGGAAGATTAGCCCTGAGCTAACATCTGCTGCCAATCCTCCTCTTTTTGCTGAGGAAGACTGGCCCTGAGCTAACATCCATGCCCATCTTCCTCTACTTTATATGTGGGATGCCTACCACAGCATGGTTTGCCAAGTGGTGCCATGTCCGCACCTGGGATCTGAACCCGAGAATCCCAGGCCGCTGAACCAGCCCCTACAGGAATATACTTATTCAAAAGCTCTGAGAAAGCAGGTCAATATGGCTAAACTGTAGTTATCTCAGAGCAAAGGGGAGGTGAGTCAGTGGCCAAGATCATACAGAACCTTGCTAAGACTAGAAAGAAGTCATTGCATGGGCCAGCCGGGTGGTGCAGCAGTTAACTGCGCACATTCTGCTTTGGCAGCCCGGGGTTGGCCGGTTCCGGATCCCGGGTGGAGAGATGGCACCGCTTGACAAGCCATGCTGTGGTAGGCATCCCACATATAAAGTAGTGGAAGATGGGCATGGATGTTAGCTCAGGGTCAGTCTCCTTCAGCAAAAAGAGGAGGATTGGCAGCAGATGTTAGCTCAGGGCTAATCTTCCCCCCTCCCCCCCAAAAAAGAAGAAGAAGTCATTGCCTTCTTTTGTGTATCATTGGATTCCTAGCTTCTGGAATAATACCTTATAGGTACTCAGTAAATAATGATTGAACAAATTAAACAGGAAGACATGATCACAGTTGTTATGATCACAAGTGTTTTCCAAGTAGATCACTCTGGTTGATGTGTGAAAAACAGTTTGGATGGTGGGGCTGAGGGCAAGAGTGGAAGTAAGAAGAAAGAGAGTAGTTAAGAGGGTATTAAAGTAATAGAGACACTAGAAAATGATAACTTGGATTTGAGGAGTGATGGGGAGATGGAGAGATATATACAGATAGGTCATATATTTAGGAGGTGGAATTGACCGGTTTTGGATAATAATTGATTTGATGTGGAAGAATGAAGAAGAGAGAGGTGTCAAGTATAACTCCATGGTATCTGGTCTTCTGTGTGGATAGATGGTGGTACCAGTATCTCAGTAAACTAGAAATTCTGAAAGAGGAACATGTTTGGAAGGAGAAAAGAATAAGCTCAGTTTTGGATATGTTAAGTTTGAGTCATTTGTTTGCCATACAAAAGGAAGACCAGGTCTGGAGCTCAGAAAAGAGGCCTAAATTGGATAGGTCGATTTGAACTTTATCAGCTTTCTAGGTGGTAACCAAAGCCTGTTGAATGAGATCACCTACACTGAGATTGTGAAGTGAAAAGAGAAAAGGGCCAAGGACCAAGCTATGAGGAGCTTACAGAAGAGAAAGAACTCCCAAAAGAGAGTGAGAAGGAACTACCAGAATGGTAAGAGAAAAACCACAGGAATTTAACATCACGGGCAGAATACCTCTTTGATGTTTGGCCCAGTACAATTCTTACTCCATGGCACGTGTTGAAAGTGTCAGATTAGACGTATAAAATATGAGAACTAGCAGGGTATCACAGAAGTATTTTAATCTGGCCCCTTCAGACATGAGGAGAAATACCTAACCAGGGAGGTGAAGCTCACAAGTGACCTGTGGCACAGCCAGGACTTCCAAACCAGAAATACTGTATTCCCATTTGAAATAATTTAGAAATTTGTCATCCTCCATTTGAATATTCATGATTATTGTAAAGAGCATTCCTCAGAGAAAACAGACAAATTAAGCTATTACTATATTATTTTATAGGAAATTGAGACATTAGAAAGTTAAAAAGATCTTGAGATCCCCAAGAAAGCTGAGGAGTTCAGATTATAATTCTTAGCCTCACTTACCCAGTCTCTCTTAGAGTATTTAAGTGCTTTTTTCCATCTTCAGCCACCCTACACTCCTTCCCATTTCTACCTCAAGGATTTCCCTCCCATCAGGCTTGGCGACCCTTCTCTCCCTATTTTTCTGATGAGATGTCAGAAATGGTGAAAATTAAAAACATCTCATTTCTTTGTTTGATGCCTGCCTCTGAAAGTTATTTTAGTAAATGCAATGGCTGTCTACCTCCCAGAGGGACAAATCTGAGCCCTACTCCTAAAACTTCAAAGATAAATTATTTTATTAACCCCATTATCTGCCTTTATATTTGAGAGTCAGGATAAGTCAGAACTGTGGAATGTTGATTCTAGGTTGAGTAGATTGGAAGTGCTGTAAGCCTATTAAAGTCTCAAGCCCAAAATTAGGTCTTACTTTGGTGTCTAAAATTCTACCCTTGAAAGGAATGAAAAACCAGCACCATTTTGTGAATGAATTTATTTCCCCTTTTTTGAAGCGTATTGTGGGCAACTTGAGATCACCTTGAAGCTGGGGTGGGTGAAGAGGTTGCTAAATGTGGGAGGAAAGGCACAGAAAGTGGAGGTAGATCACAAGAGAAATGTCATTTACTTTACAAGTTTGCCCTGGGCCTACACTCTAAGCAATTACACCCTTGGAGCCCTAGTTATTAAGTGTCCTGCCTACCTATGGCTCTTCACATTGGGTAGCTCTGTATCTAGGTTAAAAAGTGGGCATGTCCTTACAGAGTCTTTTCTTGGGAGAGCAAATGTGTGCACAACATAGCAAGGAGGTTGTGTGACCATAAAAATAGTTTTCTCTTATACTATAAACAGAGTTCTAGGAAGAATTTTGTATTAAAACTTCAAAATAAATTAGGAGTGACTCTAAAAACTACTTTTATGTCAAATGAAAGGTTATTCTATCACAAATTCAGCTAGGTGCTCCTCATCTCTGATCTAAAGATACAGATACTGAGACTCTGCCTGGAATGGAGAATGTGAAGACACAAAATGGTATTTAAAATATATAAATCAGAAATCAGGTCATATTCCTCCCCTTTTTAAAACCCACCAGTGGCTTCTCTTTGCACTTTTAATAGACTCTAGCCGCTTACCATAGCCAGTAAAGCTCACGTATAAGTTCTTCCTCCCTCTGTGTTTACAGTCTCATCTACCATTCTTCCCTTTGCTCCATTCATACTGGCTTTCTTCATATCCTTCAACACACTAGGGTAGTTCTTGCCTTAGGGCCATTACATCTGCTCCTCTGTATGCCAGAAAGTAAGGAAGTATTCAAAGAATGGTGAGGACATGTCAAAAGGACACAGAAGCCAGTTTGAAAGGCTCCCACTCCCCCAACAGGACCAGAATGGCGACAATTTGAGAATTAAATAAGAATAGCAACAGATCATAACCTATTGTATAAAATAAGAATCCATGCATCGAAACTGACATAAATAAATAAATAGGGAGAAATCAAAGCTTTTTGTTACAGTGGAATGCCAATACTGAATGTAGAAGAGATGATGGAATTAGAAAAATCACCATTTGGCAACCATAATAATAATAATAATAAATTCAACCAAGAAATGTCTATGTATGCTAAGCAACTTGGTGAAAATTTGACGAGGAATGGAATATTTACATCATCTAAAAATAACTCCCTACAAAATACTTATTAACTAAGAAGGGGAGAAGAACAATGTTATAAAGGAAAAACCTAGCAAAGGCCACTTAATTCGTGAACACAGTTAACATCAATAATAGGACCAAATTAAAGTGTTACCACCAATGGTGTGTAATGAGGAAAAACCCAGCATCACTTCTGTGCTATTCCTGCTAGTAATGCATAACCTGAATCTAATCAAGAGGAAACATCAGACTAACCCAAATTGAGGAAAATTCTATAAAATAACTCACCTATAGTCTTTAAAAGTAGCAAAGTCATGAAAATCAAAGAAAGACTATGGAACTGTTTTGATTAAAGACTAAAGAGATGTGATAATTAAATGTGTCACTATAAAGGACGTTATTGGGACAATTGGCTAAACTGGAATGGAGTTTGTGGATTAGATGATAGTAATGCATCAATGTTAATTGCTTTACTTTGATAATATGTGGATGATGAGGCATCATATGGGCAACGTACTCTCAAAGGTTCAGGGGAAAAAAGCCTTTTTCATACTGTTATTGTAACTTTCTTGTAAGTTTGAAATTTTTTAAAAGAAAAAAGTATTAGCAAGAGGGTCCAAAAGGGTACCATTGGAAACATTGGAACTGACTGCCAATATCTTAAATGTAAATATGATTCCTGGAATTGTGGGTAAAAAACAGTGCTTTGTGAATGTAACAATAGCAATTGTTTTCCATCTAACCACACCCTCCAAGACCTGCTCAAGACCTACCCTCTCCTAGAAGCCTTCTTTGAGTCTCTTCCAGTCCACGCTCATCATTCATTCCACATCTGAACTCAGGATACATATTTTTTGTATCACTTTTTTGACACTTAATCATGTATAATCTTGGGACTTCTCTGGTACTATTGTCTTATATAAATTTCAAGTTCTTGTTTAAATCTTCTCATGAATATGTTATCTCCATAATTATGCTGTAATCAGCTTAGGAGCAGGTACCATATATGATCTTTTTCTTCCGAAAGTACTTAGCATACATTTTTAAATTACATTTCCACGTCCCAAGGACTGTCAAAAAATAATTAATCTCACTTGGCAAATATTTCTTGCATACCAACTATGCATTAGGCACTGTAAATAATAATTCCTTATGTGTGTAGAATGCTTTACAATTTATGTAGCACGTACACATTCATTATCTTGTTTGTTCTACATAACAACTCTGTGAGGTAGGTGCTGCCACATGATAAACACGTTCAGAGAGGAACTGATTTACTGGAAGTCACACAGCAAGTTAATAGCAGAATTGGGACGCCAGTTCTTCAGGTTCCAAGTCCAGTGCCTTTTCCACACCACCATAGGAAACAGGTAATGAGTCTGGACACACTCCTGGTGTTGTATTTGTTTTCTATTGCTGCTGTAACAAATTACCACAAACAGCGGCTTACACAACACAAATATATTATCTTACAGTTCTGTAGGATAGAAGTCTGACACAGGTCTCGCTGGGCTAAAACTAAGGGGTCAGGAGGGTTGCGTTCCTTTCTAAAGGCTCTAGAAGAGAATCCATTTCCTTGCCCTTTCCAGCTTCTAGATGTGGCTTACATTCTTTGGCTTGCCTCTCCCTTTCTCTATCTTCAAAGCAAGTAACAGTGCATGTCTCTCTGCCTTTCTTCTATAAGTACATCTTCTGACTCTCTCTTCCACTTATAGGAACTCTTGTGATTAAGTTGGGTCTAGCTGGATAATCCAAGATAATAGCCCTATTTTAGGTTCAGTTGATTAGCCACCTTAATCCCTTCTGCAACCTTAATTCCCCTTTGCCATGCATCGTAGCATCTTCCCAGATTCCAGGGATTAAGATTTGGACATGTTTGGGGGGCCACTATCCTCCCTATCACGTGGGTATTCTTCAAAGTTTCATTCCCAAAGATCCCCTGAGCACGTTAACATCTTAACTCATGATGTGGGTCATTCTTCCATCTACTAAAAATTAATCGTTAGATTCCAACAGAACACTTTGGTCTTACTGATGTGTTATTAACTTTTAGAAATTAGTTTGTATGAAAAATAAGACAGAGTTTGGTTTACAAAAATTGGTATTCTCTGAGTCCACTGGTTCCTAATACAGCAAATAAGGGAATTGAGGCCAGTGACATTAAGTATCTTGCTCAAGAACACACAGGTACTAAGTGGCAGAGCAGGAATTCAAATTTAGGTCCTATTGCAAAACTCACAGCTTTTCCATTTCACCATTTTCTCACCAACAATAGTTCCTCCTAGGGTCTGATGCCCTAATCTAATACCTGTAATTTAAACATTAATTTATTTCTTTGGGTCATCCACTTATGGACTGCCTTGAAAATGCAAATCCCTCCAGTGGAAGATTAAATAAGATGATAGAGGTACTTGTGTGTTGTAAAGCGGAAGAAAAATATATGTGATAGATGTGTGCATTAGTGTATACACAAACAGTTGTGAAAGAAATGAAAGGCCTAGAAGAGCCTGGTTCAAGTCCTGACTCTGCCACTTGTATGATCAGGGACAAGTCCTAAATTCTGGTAAACTGTCTTAACCTTGGTTTTTCTCATCCATAAAATACATCCTTCATAGGGTTGTTGTGAGGATTAAATGCCATAATTCTTGAAGAGCACTTATGACAGAGCCTGGCTTGAAGGATGGGCTCAAGAACTGTTGGCAAGCATAAAGATGCTGATGGCTTTATGGAATTCACCTGTCGATTCTAGAATAGGTGATTTCTTATTCAACCACAAGGTGGAGCTAGAGACATAGGAATGTATGTTTTCTTCAACAGGAATTTTGGACGCAAGGGGCAAGAAGTAGCCTTTCCATCTGAGTCTTGACAGAACAGATCCTATCTCCCTTTAAGCCACCGCTCATGTTCCTCCATCTTGACAGCCTTTGTTTTTTTTGTTTGTTTGTTTGTTTTTGTTTTTCAAAAAGAGAGAGTCGGACAAAGGAGCTTTCAAAAGACATTCTTTAATAATGTGAATTTTACTTCCACTTGGAGAAAATGTGGTATCTGGTACAGAGGAGGTGACAGTACAGTAATGAGAGAAATGCTTCATTTTTCTTCTCCTTCCTCAGTCCAGAGACCAGAGGCAGTTTTTGTCTACACTCTTTGCTCCAAAAGACCTACTTATCATTTCTCCCAAGAAACTCATTGGGTCCCCATGAAAATAGGACTCCTAGAAGTTTATCTTAGCATCCCAGGGTTCTCAGGATGTAGATTAGGCTTCAGTTGTTCTCAGAGGATCACTTTGAAGGTACATTTTGATAAGCTCATTAAAAACTCAACTCACATTACCTTCAGGCATGATCTTATAGGCTATGTACTTATTATAATTAGAATCTCAAGAAAATCACGAAGTCCACTGAAAAGATGAAGGTACGATCAAATACTGATCTCAAAGTGCCACTACTTTTAGGACTCAGGAAAGCATTGTTATAGAAACAGAGCTTAGATTCCCCGGAAATCTCACTGGATAAGAGAAGCCCCTTCATTTCTATGTATAAACAAAGGATGAATAAGCATTAGCCAAGAGAAGGAGAATGAAAGAGGAAAGATCACTCCAGGCTGAGTTCCAGGACATGCAAAGGGTCGAGGAGAGAAAGTTATACTCTTGTAGCTTTGAAAGTAGTTACATACAGCTCGACAGTATAGGTTGAGAGGAGAATGGCAATAGTTAAAACTGGAGGGGTAAGATGGAGATAAATCAGTAGGCCCTGTGTTTTATGTTGAGAATGGACTTTATCTGAGGGCAATGTGGAGCCACCACAGGACATCAAGGTGAGGCAAGACAAGATCAGACCCATGCTTCAGAAAGATCATTCTGGGGCACAGCCCAGTGGTGCAGCGGTTAAGTGCACACATTCCACTTCGGCAGCCCAGGGTTTGCCAGTTTGGATCCCAGGTGCGGACCTATGCGCCATTTGTCAAGCCATGCTGTGGCAGGCGTCCCACGTAAAACAGAGGAAGAGGGACACAGATGTTAGCTCAGAGCCAGTCTTCCTCAACAAACAGAGGAGGATTGGCGGCAGATGTTAGCTCAGGGCTAATCTTCCTCAGGAAAAAAAATATATATATATACAAATAAAAAAAAGAAAGATCATTCTGGCTGCAAGATAGAGATTAGAGGAAGGCAAGACTAGATGGAAAGTGTGCTAGATATTTTCTGTTTACCTCTCCAGATACCCCCCTACCCTACTCCACTTGTTCTATGTCCCAGAAGTTTGATCTATGTGGGCTCTCTGGCTTCTGGTTGGGTCCAGCACTGGGACATAGCAGCAGGAGATCAGGGGTCAGGAGGACAGAGAGATCCAGCTGCCTCCCTCCCTACTGAGTCACCTTGTGAGGATTCTTCCCTCTTATGAGGCCGCACCCTCCATACAACTGCCCTCTTCAGATTCTGGTAGTCACTCCCTCCCCTTATCCTTTCATGTCCTCGGCTAGTAGTGATTCCCACTGTTGCTAGCACCAGGGGAACTTAATATCCCGTGTTGGTCTCCCTAAAGCCTGAACACATTTTGTAAACAGTTCCTTTATTAAACATACCAGAAATTCTCTATTTTGAGTGTGCCATCTATTTCCTGCCAGGACTCTAACTGGTATAGAAAGAAACAAGTAATAATGTTGGTAGCTAACACTTATCATGTTCCAGGAATTCTCAACAGTTTGCATACATTAACTCATTTAATGCTCACAGCAACTCTATGAAGTATCCCTCCTTTACAGATATGGAATCGGAGCCATTGAGGGATGAAGTGATCTTCCCAAAGTCACGCAGCTAGTGAGGGGCTGAGCAAGAATTCAAATCCACACAGTCTGTTTTCAGAGTCTTTGGTCTTCACCACTACGCTCCTTTGGTGAGGTAAGTGTTGATGTTGTAAGTTGAAGCAATGGCAGTGGAATGGAGAGAAATGAAAGGGTTTAAGAGATATTATTGCTAATCTGAGCACAATTTTGAGGAACAGTTGGGATGAAGAGGCAATAAAATGCATTGTTTTAGGAATAACATGGACCCAGGTTCCTATTTTGGATCTTACTACCTGGGTGATCTTGAGTAAGTCACTTGACTGTTCTGGGTTTCAGTGTCCTCATCTGTAAAATGGGACAAATAACGTGTACTCTGTAGAGTTGCTGTAAGAATTAAACAAAATATTGGAAGTCCTAGCCCAAGCAATCAGGCAAGAAAAAGAAATTAAAGGCATCCAAACCAGAAAGGAAGAAATAAAACTGTCTCTATTTGCAGATGACCGGATTTTATATAGTGAAAACCCTAAAGACTCCACCAGAAAACTGTTAGAACTGCTAAACAAATTCAGTAAACCTGCAGGATACAAAATCAATATACAAAAATCAGTTGCATTTCTATACACTAAAAATAAACTATCAAAAAAGAAATTAAGAAAACAATCCCATACACAATTACATCAAAAGAATAAAATGCCTAGGAATAAATTTAACCATGAAGGTAAAAGATCTGTACACTGAAAACTATAAGACACTGAAGAAGACACAAATAAATGGAAAGATATTCTGTGCTCATGGATTGGGAGAATCAATATTGTTAAAATATCCGTACTACCCAAAGCAATCTAAAGATTTGATGCAATCCCTATCAAAATTCCAATGACATTTTTCACAGAAATAGAACAATCCTAAAATTTGTATGGAACCACAAAAGACCCAGAATAGCCAAAACAATCTTGAGAGAGAACAAATCTGGAGGCATCACACTTTCTCATTTCAAACTATATTACAAAGCTACAGTAATCAAAACAATATGATTTTGGCAAAAAAAGGACTTAGATCAATGGAATAGAATAGAGAGTCCAGAAATAAACCCACACATATACAGATCTTCCTCAACTTACAAAGGGGTTATATCCTGATAAACTCATTGTAAATTGAAAATATCATGACTCAAAAATGCATTCAATACACCTAACCTACCAAACATCATAGCTTAGCCTAGCCTACCTTAAATGTGCTCAGAACACTTATGTTAGCCTTCAGTTGGGCAAAATCATCTAACACAAAGCCTATTTTATAATAAAGTGTTGAATATCTCATGTAATTGATTGAATACTATACTGAAAGTGAAAAATAGAATGGTCAAATGGGTACAGAATGGTGGAATGTGTACTGGTTGTTTACCCTCGTGATTGCATGGCTGCCTGGGAGCTGCAGTTCGCTGCCACTCCCTGTACCACGAGAGAGGATCAGACTGCATATAGCTAGCCCAAGAAAAGGTCAAAATTCAAAATTCAAAGTACGGTTTCCACTGAATGCATATGGCTTTCACACCACCATAAACTCGAAAAATCTCAAATCAAAATATTGTAAGTTGGGGACCATCTGTATGGTCAATTAATTTATAACAAAGAGGCTAAGAATATACAATGGTGAAAGGATAGTCTCTTCAATAAATGGTGTTGGGAAAACTGGACAGTCACATCCAAAAGAATTAAACTGGGGCCAGCCTGGTGGCACAGCAGTTAAATTCGCACGTTCTGCTTCTCGGTGGCCCAGGGTTCGCTGGTTCGTATCCTGGGTGTGGACATGGCACCGCTTGGCAAAAGCCATGCTGTGGTAGGCGTCCCACATATAAAGCAGAGGAAGATGGGCATAGATGTTAGCTCAGGGCCAGTCTTCTTCAGCAAAAAGAGGAGTATTGGCAGCAGTTAGCTCAGGGTTAATCTTCCTCAAAAAAAAGAAAAGAATTAAACTGGACCCCTATCTTATACCATACACAAAAAACAGCTCAAAATGTATTGAACTTAAGACCTGAAGCCATAAAACTCCTAGAGAAAAACATAACAAGTAAGCTCTTGGGCATTGTTCTTGGCAATGATTTTTTGGACTTGACACCAAAAGCAAAAGCAACAAAAGCAAAAATAAATGAGTGGGACTACATCAAACTAAAAAGCTTCTGCACAGCAAAGGAAACCATCAACAAAATGAATAAGCAAGCTACAGAATGGGAGAAAATATTGACAAATCATTTATCTAATAGAGGGTTAGTAACCAAAATATATAAAGAACTTACATGACTCAACAGCAAAATACCCCAACTATTCCAATAAAAAAATATGCGGAGGATCTGAATAGACATTATTCCAAAGAAGGCATACACATGAAGAAGTGTTCAACATCACTAATGAGCGGGGAAATGCAAATCAAAACCACAATGAGATATCACCCCACACATGTCAAATGGCTATTACTGAGAAGACAAGAAATAACAAGTGTTGGCAAGGATGAGGAGAAAAAGGAACCCTGTGTACTGTTGGTAGGAATATAAATCGATGCTGTCACTATGGAAAACAGTATGGAGGTTCCTCAAAAAATTAAAAATAGAACTACCATGTAATCCAGCAATTTCACTTCTGGGTATTTATCCAAAGGAAATGAAAACACTAACTTGAAAAAATATCTGCACCTTCACATTCACTGTAGCGTTATTTACAGTAGTCAAGGCATGGAAACCATCCAAGTGTCCCTCAACGGATGAATGGATAAAGCAAATGTGATATACATATCACATACACATATATACACACACTTATATGCATATATATACACACACACACACATATATATATATACAAAAGAATATTATTCAGCCATACAAAAGAGGGAAATCCTGCTACTCATGACAACACAGTTGGACCTTTTCTTCCTTTGGGCACCCCCAGTACTTTGGTCATCTGTATGGCATGTCTTTAACTCGATCTGATGTTAGATTTAATCATTTATATGTCTCTCTCCCCTGTCAAGCTACATTAGTCAGGAACAGAGTTTTAGAATCCTGATTCATATTCTTATCCTTAGTTAATACAATAATATGTAGCACACAGTAAGTGCTCAGTGATATTTGTTGAGTGAATGAATGACTCAATACTCCTAGGAAATTATTCCCTGAGTTTTATTTCAATTTCCTGCTGTCATGAAGATGAGAAAATTACCATGCTGTTTTATTGATTACTTTTATTATTTATTCACAAAGCCTGGCACACACTGGGTGCTTAGTAAATATTTCTTAAACGGATGAACTAACGTCAAGCAATTACAGTAAATTGGCAGCCTAGCACAGTGGAGGCTGTGGAGTCAGATTAGCTGGATTCAAATCCTGGCTGTAATGCTGTGAGACATTGAGCAAGTTACATATTCTCAATGTCCCTCGATTTCCTCATATGTAAAATGAGGCTAAGAGAACCTGTCTCATAGACATAAAAGAATCGTGAGAGCTAAATGAGTTAAGGTTGGCTGGCTCATAGTGAGGGCTTAACAAATGTTGTCTACATAGTGCTGAAGGTGGGACCACTATCCACTATTTCTTTTTTTTAAGTTAGTATGAGAAGCCTAGTACTCAGGGCATTGCTCTTGAGTCTGGCCCCCTCGACACTAAACAAACGAATAGGTCTCAAACTTTAGAGGACTTAAGAAACAACTAGGGAGATAGTTTAAAAATCAGAAATACAGCTTCTTAGGCCCACACTTTGAGGAACACTGCACTAAGCCCTTAACAGATGAACTTGATAGTTAAAATTGGTTTGACGTTTGCCACTCTGTCCTTGACCCCGGGACTGAGCTTTTCCTGCTTCTCGAGAATCGACCTCAGTTAGCCCTAAGTTTCAGGCTCTCATGATCTGCTGCACAACCAATGTATAATACTATCTGCTCCTGCCAGATGATTCCTTTCTGCTCACTACCCCAAACAACATGCTAGCTTCCATCTCCTCACCTTGGCTAGTTCCTCAACCTGAAATGCCTTTTTTCCAGCTTTTTCCTATTCAAATTCTTCCCATCCATCAAGATTTAGCTCAAACTATCCCCCTCCCATGCTGGCTCATCACATGCACCACCTCAGAAGCCCTCCTTGGCTATCTCAGTTGTATGCCTCTCTCCTCCCCATTCTGAGAAAAATAACCTCCGTCATTCCTTGCTTGTCCATCTGCGCTTCCTTCAAACACTGCTTTAAGATTGAATGGAATGATTTCCATGAAAAATAAGGTCTTTCCAAGTTTATTTTCCAGAAGGGCATCCATTTTATATCAGTGAACCAAGAGGGTTGCGATCACAAATCTTATAGCTGATTCCAAAGCTGTACTGTGTTGTGAGCATCTAGTCTACGTGAAACTAAGAAGCCCATGTGATATTTGTACTGAAAACTAATATAATAGTCCAAGTGTTTTGACCTAGAGTTTCTGTCAAAGAATAGGAAAAGTATGGTGGCAGACAAAACAATCTGTTTTAGGGAGAACAAGGGTCTTAGTTCCCTGAAAGCCAGACCTGGCCTTTGTCACCAACATCTTTGTATCTCCTGCAGTACCTAGGAAAATACTTTGCACCAAGTAGGTACTCAATATGTGTACAATTGAATCATGGCCTGCTAATCCAAATTCTTGATTTTCTTGCCCCACTGAGGCCTGGAGAATATGATCTTACTTATGTGATGAATGGTGTAAACATGAGAAGAAAGGGAAAGGATAAAGATATGACACTATCTGGCTGCCAGGTGGTGTAGTGGCAAAGTGCACGTACTCTGCTTTGCCAGCCCAGGGTTCACAGGTTTGGCTCTCCGGCACAGACCTATACACAGTTCATCAAGCCATGCTGTGGTGGTGTCCCACATACAAAATAGAGGAAGACTGCCACAGATGTTAACTCAGCAGCAATCTTCCTCAAGCAAAAAGAGGAAGTTTGGTAACAGATGTTAGCTCAGGGCCAATCTTCCACACCAAAAAAATAAAAATTAAAAAAGGTATGACACTATTATGAACTGAATTGTGTCCACCCAAAATTCATATGTTAAAGCCCCAACTCTCAATGTAACTGTATTTGGAGATAGGGCCTTAAAGGAGATAATTAAGGTTAAATGAGGTCATAAGGGTAGGGTCCTAATTCAATATGACTCGTGTCCTTATAAGGAGAGAGGTGCCAGGGATGCGTGCAACAGAAAGGCCATGTGAGAACACACTGGCCATCTACAAGCCACGGAGAGAGGTGTCAGGGAAAACAAAACTTGCCATCACCTTGATCTTGGACTTCTAGCCTCCAGAACTGTAAGAAAATAAGTTTCTGTTCTTTAAGTCACCTAGTCTGTCATATTTTGGTTACAGCAGCCCCAGCAAACTAAAATAGAGCCTGTTCTACTTTCTAATGAGAGTAGAATTTCCCCAAAGTGTAGTTAGTGGAACTTCAGCCGAATATTAATGGAGGTCCAGAAAAGAAGTTGTTCAATGGTCAAACACACTGGAGAAACACAGGGTTAAACAAAGTAAAGCTGATTCTCGGGGTCTTTAATTTGCTAACATGTGTTTTGATTCTCCAAGAGGACAATATAATATGCAGCATTTCCCAAACTTACTTGACCATGGGACCCCCCCCCCCCCGCCCCGTCCAACTTTTTTTTTCAGTCAATGCATATTCTTACAAGACTAGTATTCTGTAGGAAACAATTTGGAAAATGCTTATTTATAGTTTTGTTTTTCTTATCTTGATCTGCCTGTTCTTAACTATCCCATTACCTACCATCAGGATCTGGACAGATGTTAAAAAAGAACCTTGGAGAAGGCAGTCTGGGGTATGTTAAACAATGCTTCAAATGACTCATTCCTGGAATGGGGAAGGACCCTCCCTGGAGGTCCTCAGAGAAAAAGTTATTTACAGTCATTCCACCAAGCTTATTTCTTCAAGGATCAACCCAGAGTAAGAAGTTGTAATGACCAAGGCCAAAGGAAGATAGTTAAAAGAGAAGGGCTAAAATCTAACCTGATGTCCTACAAGGAAGGCAAACCAGAGTCTGGCAACCAAGACCTTTGTAAATACTTCCTGTCTTTCATTCCTTTTCTATTTCCCCAAAATCATTGGTAATAAAATCCTCTAAACAACATGACTCTGAGCTTGCTGTCTGAGGAAGAAGAAAAAGGAAGAGAGAGAGCATCTAATTCTGCAGCTGGACTGAGAGAGGGATGGGGTGAAGGAGTGGCAGAGTACCCCAAATGCAGAGTGTGTGGTGGTAACCGCCAAGAAGAGAGAGAAAGAGACACAGTCTGTGGCGCTTGTAACGAGGAAGCTCTTTCTGGCTTGTGCAGTAGAATTTAGAATTAAAAAAAAAAGCCTGAGTGAAGATTCCTTGACTCCATATCACGGATGGGGTGGACCTGGGCCACAGTTAGATATCCATTTGGTCAATTGTTCAACACGCATTTATTTAGTACTTACTATGTGTCAACACCATTCTAGCAAAGAAACGAGAAAAATCTCTGCCCTCACAACCTTTCATTCTAGTGGGAGTTTATTATATTTTATTTTTGTTGTAAGATATATCATGCATACGAAAGGTTATCTACAACATATGGGACCATATAAAGAATAATCATAAAGCAAATACACATCTACAAACAGCCTCGCTTTAGAAATAGAATATTACCAGTACATAATGAGTCCCTCATGTGACTTTTTTATATCATTTCCCTCCCCCACAGAAGTAATTACTATCCTGAATTTTGTGTTAATAATTCCTTTACTTTTCTTTATACGTTTTACCACAGTGTCTGTGTATCCCTAAACAATATTGTATCAGTCAGGGCCCTGCGGGAAGAGATGGCCCACTCAAATTAGGATAATTTGAGGAGAGTTTATGAAAGGAACAATTTACTAAGGTGCAGGCGTGGTGTAGTAAGAACACAATGGGTATTGTCTTAAGCCTGGCAACAGTGCTTTCCATCCTAGGCTTAAAGGGGAAAGGAGGGAGTGGTTACCGGAAGTCAGAAACAGTGGGCTGTGGGGAGAAGGCCACCTGATAGGAGCCAAGACCATCAGTTGAGGGAATTCAACTAGCCCACAGCAACCCCCAGTGAGAGTACCAAAGAGTAAATACCCAACCCCACTCTCCTCTAGTTCCCCAGTCTTCCACTGGTGCTGACCATCAGCCAAACCTAACCAAAAGCCAGAAGTCAAAAGAACACTTTGATTCAGTTCATGCAGCTGACAAGCAATTTTCACACATTGAGATATATGGTTGAGGTATATGGGGTAACTATTCTTGTTCAAAACTGATTTGGCTTGAACTAAAGAAGCCAGATTTATGGCCTATCAAACATACATGGTATATGGGCTTTAACCATTAACGTAAAGAAGGCACTCTTTCAAAATAAGAATGCATACCCTCCCCTCCTACACCGGTTAGGTAACGCCCTATCGGGAACTCCCTAATTAGTCCCTTTCCCAACATCAGGGTCATGTTGACCTGCTAATTTGCAACTAAATACCTCTTTGAAACTTGGATGAATATGTATCCTGGGCATGTTTAAGTATGTTTTTCGTTCTGAAAAGGTATAAGGCTGTACTGAAATCCACGCTTCTCCAGAAGTCTTCCTTACTTTGTTGAAACTGCCTTCCCAGGTTATAATCCTCACCTGCGCTTGAGTAAAACTCGCCTTATCTCTCTCTCATCTACAGAATGGTTATTGATTATTTTTCATCGACACAGCTCAGCCTCCTGGAATTAAAGCGTGAAGAGTGAATCTGGAGGGACAAACTGAAGATATCCAGCCAAGATACATTGCTTAGTTTTGCCTAAGTTTACAAAAGTGGAATCATACAGTTTGTATTCTTCTGTGACTTGCCTTTTTTGTTTACTCATTAGAGTAACTCGTGTGTAGATGTAGTTCATTTATGTTCAGTTCTGTATAATATCCCATTGCATGCATCTACCGCATTATATTTATCCATTCTACAGTTGATAGACATTTGGACTGTTTCCAGATTTTTGTTTTTATAGACAATGCTGCTGTGGACATTCTTATCTATATCTTGGTGCACAAATGCAAGAATGCATGTAAGTGTGCAATTTCTGGGTAGTAGGATAGTGTGAGTTAAACTTTAATAGATAACACCAAACTATTTTCCAAAGTCACCGTAATTCACACTCCAATTAGCACTAAATGAGGGTTTCTGTTGCTCCACAATCTCACCAACACTTGGTATTATCAAACTTTCTAATTTTGTCAGTCTGGTAGGTGGGAAACAGTATCTTTTGGTTTTAATTTTCATTTCTTTGTTTCTAACAAAGTTGAACATATTTTCACATGCTTATGGGCCATACATACGATGATTTTTTTTCTTTTGCTCATTGAAAAACGAGTAGAAATAGAAATATTTCTACTGAGTTTTTCTGCCTTTCTTTTGTCAGTTACATATGTTGTAAACATCTTCTTTCCTTTAGTGCCTTGCTTTTTTCACTCATAATATGGATCTTTTGGTGCACAGTTGTTGTTAATTTTAATATAATTGAATTTATACTATTTTTCATGGTTTGCACTTTTGGTTCCCCTTTAAGAAATCTTTCTCTACCCTGAGGTCATAAAGATATTTCTTATTTTGTCTTCTAAAAGTTCCTTTGGTTTACATTATACTATAAGCTTTGGGTCTTTCATATTTAAGTCTTAAATCTACCTGGAACTGATGTTTGTGCATCGTTTAAGATAGGGATCAGTTTTAATTTTTTCCATATAGATAACCAATTATTGAAGAGTCCATCTTTTCCCAACTGATCTGTAAATGCTTTCTGTGGCAAAAATTTTGTTTCCATATATACGTTAGTTTTTTCTTGTATTTCCTGTGTACTCTGCTAGCCTGCCACAGCGCCCAAGAGTCTACCATTAGGGACTGCAGCTCATGAAGACTCTTATTTGATATTAGTTCCCCCTGGGGAAATGACATATTAAGTCATTATTTTTCAGATCATCTCAACGGGAAAATAGTTTATTAGCACTTATTATCTAGTAGTATCTAAGAGTGTGGTCACGTTGACGTTGGGGGAAGGCAGAACAGGCTCTAAGGCAGCGTGAAGACGCTGGTCACCTGTAAGAGCGGTGCTCTTTGTAAAGGGGAGCAGATGAAGGAAGCTAGAGAGGGGTGACCTGATCCTAGCAGCCGAGGATACCCATGCAGATCTAATGTGCTGAAGATGAGCAGGTTTGTGGAGCAGAAGTAGTTCTAGAATCATATTCTCAATATAATGTAAAGAAATCTGCTTATGTGATGAGTAAAAAAATATATATACATACCTATATTTTTAGCTGTTCTTTTAAAGAGTCGGTTTATTGAGTCATGCATAGACAATGCAAGTATTTAATTTAGACAATCACCAGCTGGTTCACAGGCATCCTATATATCCACTATGAAAAGCAGAAACATAACATTAAGGAAGGTGTAGAGGCCTCCCTTTCATTAGGCACAACTGTGATCCAGGCAGCTCTTGCAAAAGCTGGCAGCTTGGAAAAACAGCCTCCCATAGGTACCTGATAGTGGACTCTAAATAATACAGCCAAAGTATCCTTGAAGAAAAACGGGGAAAAAAAGTTCTCCAACTTAAGCAGACCACAGAAGTTTTAGGAAAGAATTTAAATAAGACCTTTGGCCATGAAGGGCTTTAAACTTGTGAGCATCTGAACAAACCGTCTCCTTCATGGCCCCCTCCAGAACTAGCTTGACGGTGATTTCTCCCACCTCTCAGTGCCCTTCCAAAACACCATCACCACCACCACCCTTCAGCTAAAGATCTAAGATACCAGCAGCTGCCTTGTCCGGGCATCATCCCACCTGTTCAGAATGAGCATTCAATTCTCTTCATTCAACAAATGGCTATTGGACATCCTTAATGTGCTGGAACCTGTGGGGGTTCTGAGGATTGAGAAAGAAAGAAAACCCACTTCCCTGACCTCCAAGAACTTATTCTTTGGTGGTGCCAAAGACAAACTGGCTCGGTCCCTTACCATTTTATTTCTTAAAAAATGCCCCAGTAGTGTCCCATAAAGCACTGGTACAGCTGCCAAAGCCAGAGAGGGTTGAAACATGGGCATTTGAGAGAGATCTCTCCTCTGTTTCTGTTACTGCTGGAGTGGGTTGCTTTGGGTGTGTCCCCTGTGATGTGATGGGGGCTGGGGCTACAGTACCAGTCTGGGCTCTTGCCACTCGGGCAAATCCCTGATCAGGCTTCAGAGGCTCTTAAGGATGTGAGGGAACACAGCACCTCATCCCAGGGCTACACTCAGCCAAGAAGTACCTTGCTCCTTACTGCTTCATAAACTGACCCTCACGGCCGTTCCCCAAGCACAAGCCCGCCCACAGGAGGATAAAACAGACGCAAATTCCAGGAGGGCTGCGTCACAGACCTCAAACCACGATTCCCCTTCAATACTTGTCTTGATTTTTGAGCCAGTCCACTTGGTCCATCTCTTTTCATTCTCTCAGTGATTTTATTCATTCGAAAAGGATTTATATTTGGAGCCAGTACAGTGTCGTGGTTAAAGGCAGGGACTCTGGGTTTTCAATCCCCACTCTGGATTTATTAACTATGTGGCCCTGGGCAAGTGAAATATCCTCTCTGTTTCTTCATCTATAAGAATGGGGAGAATAATAGTACATATCTATCTCGTAAGGATAATAATAGAGACTATCTTGCAAAGTTGTTGTGAGGATTAAATTAATGTATATGTAAAGGGCTTTGAATACTGCCTGGAAGATAGCAAGCACAAATGAGAGGTTCATAACAGAGGCTTTAAGTAAAACAGAGCTAAAGTAACTTGTGCAAAGCTCTGAGGGTACAGCAGTGAACAAAACAGGCGAGGTCCCTGCTATCATGAAACTTTTATTAAAGAAATAAAATAATTTCATGATGATTAATGCAATGAAGAAAATAAAACAAGATGAGGGGGTGAGATAGAGTCAGGGCACACTTCTCTGAGGAATGACATTCCAGGGACTCACAGCCCTTCCCTGTCACCGGCCTGTGTTCAGAGCCACCCTGGTTTACCTCAACACATTTCAATAATTCTGAATCTTGTTAGTGAAACTATTGGAGTCTCATTTCCTTTATTTAAGTAGGTCTCCAGACTCCTTATGCACATTTGCCTGCCTCTTGCCTGGTTTATTTCAAAGAAAAATATGTTTATTTCACAGAAAAATGTGTTCTGTATCATTGGACAATCTACTCCCACAAGTAACCAGAAAATTACAATACGGCAAAGGAAAATAAAGGGGGACGTGCTTTTCCATAGGAGGCACCTCACTGAGCTCGGGAGACAGGAGTAGAAAGAACAGCCTATGCAGAGGCTCAGATCCAAAGTGTACCCCAGTCCTCTTCTCAAACCAAGGAGAGGTTGCTGCTCGTTTTATTGGCAGCCTTCGCTCTATGAACTACTATAGTTTGAAAATATTGTTTACTTCCTGGGTGAAGGTGGAGGTAGCAGGCACTTCCAGGCTAATTCTAGGTGGTAGTACCCATGAGGAAGCCCAAATACTTCTGCTAGGACCTCTTGAGCACCTGGGTTTTCTGTATCTTCTACTAGGACACAGGGTAGAGGAGAAACACTCTCAGGGCTGCTGCTGGTCCATATAGCGTCTGTATTCATTTCCTAAGGGTGCCATAACTAAGTACCACAGACTGGGGGGCTTAAAACAACGGAAATTTATTCTCTTACAGCTCTGGAGGCTGGAAGTCCAAAATCAAGATGTTGGCAGAGTTGGTTCCTTCTAAAGACTTTGAAGAAGAATCTGTTTCATGCCTGTCTCCTAGCTTCTGGTGGCTGCCAGCAATCCTTTATATTCCTTGGCTTGTAGTTGCATCACTCCAATCTCTGCCTCCATCATCACCTAGCCTTCTTCCTTGCATCTCTTCTGTATCCGTGTCCCAATCTCCCTCTACTTTCTCTTATAAAGACACCAGTCTCCGCACCTTAATCCAGGATAGCCTCATCCTAACTTGATTACATCTGCGAAGACCCTGTTTCCAAATAGGCTCACATTCACAGGTACTAGGGATCAGGACTCTAATATATCTTTTAGGGGACACAATTCAACCCACTACAGCACCTAGGTGCAAATTGGAGACAGGTGCCCCCTCGGGAGGATGCTGCTCATGGCTTAGTGAGCAGATAGCACCTTTGTGTGAATTGCACAAAAGAACCCTTCCTCTCGGTGGAGACAGCTCCACGCCAGGACACAAAGCTTGGCACTTGGAGGCTAGGCTGGATTTCAACCCCCAATAAGCCCCCACTGCTCCCCTTGGCAGGACACGGCCTAGTCAATCGTATATACTGACCCTGCCTGCTCTGTACTCAGCTGGCTGCCTCAGGTCTGCCCCCGAATTCCTGCCCACTTTGTTCCTTTCACCCCCACATCCTGGAGGTAGAAATCATTTTAGCTCTCCTCTGTTCAGTTTTTGGAAGTCTTTTGTGGAATGATCTGATTCTGTATCTCCTGGGAAAAGCTGGCGTTTTTGCCTGGCCAGCACCCATTCTCTTTTCTGGAAACAGCACCCTAAGTTTCCTTTGGGGCAAACACTCCTCTCCCACTTGTAGTTCATCTGGTTTGAGTGGGACTGACCCCACCCTCCAAATCCAGAGACTGGCACAAGATCCAGGCTTAGCCAATCAGAACACCTCACCTCCTAGCTTGATGACTGATCCTGGAACAAGCACATGACTCTGGACTTTGGCCAAAACTTTTGAAGCAAAGGCACTGTCTTTCTGTGCAGATGTCTGCATTGGTGGGATAAGCTTGGAGCGGCCTTAGAATGAAGCCAACCTAGAGGAGAGTGAAACTGAGAGATAAAGAGAATCCTGATAATATAATTTAATCACCTGGTTCCAGCTGACTCCGAAGCAAGATCCATCCCTGGACTTTACAGTAACATGAGCTAACAAATTCCCCTCCCATCATGACCTCTTCCTTTTTCCTTTTTCTTGTGATCATTAAAAGTGGGTATATGTTACTCATAATCAAAAGAATCCTGACAGAATGCAATATCTGACACTTTTATCACCTCTGCTCTGCGTTTTCAAAGCTCTGCATCTTCTCTGGCCACCAGGGTCTCCATGCCTGAGTCCCGACAGCTGAGCAGGAGTTAACCAGGTTAAACAAAGGGGAAGCTTCCCCACCACGCTGTGGGGATGGGTGAAAAACTGGACTAAATACGCTACCTGCTTAGACTTGTTATACTTTTGGGTGGTGGGGAGTGGGTTCTGCCCCTTCCCAGAACTGCCAATTCTGTCCGCATTTTGATTCATTTTCCTGTGGGCTAAGCACTTTCTCTCCAGCTCAGCAGCCTCACTCCTCACAGGCTGTCCAGCAGGGTATCCTAACCCTCCATTGGGAGTTAATGCTGAGTTAAGTTGCTTGGAGGCGCACACTGCTCCTTGTGATTCTCTGCATCCTCTATGTCACCCAGCACAGGAGTAGGACCCAGAGGGTATCCAGAAGTTCAAGCTGGATGGCTGTCCGTGACCTCCTGCAGCCCCCATCCTCCCTCATTCACCTAGCCTTCCCTGACTGTTATAGTCCACTCTGATCTCCCCCCTTTTCTGAGTCATTCATGAACTATTGCCTTGTATTGTGGCTTTTGTTGCATTGGTGCTGGACCTGTTTTCTCAGTTCCTAACATTTCAGAAGGCAGCAGTCTCCTCCCGAAGTTCTTAGCACAAACTCAGGGAAGAGTCACTCCGTAAATGAGGCATCGTTCAGACAAACTTTAATGCACATACCATCATTGGCACTTCAATAAGGATAGGGACCACATTAAGAAAAGCCAGTTTGTAGCAATAACACATATCAACACAGAACAAAGAGACACCACAGATATTCACAAATGAGATCTTTCCTTTCATTACTGTGTATACCCTTATACACCCATATATCTCTTTATATTTATACAAACTACAACACTACATGACATTTTCTATTTCATATGTCACTGAGAAGAGGTGTCAGTATACAGAAGAATAAAAAGAATATAGAAGAATAAAAAAGCATGAAAACATCTGCTTAGCTGGACTCTGATGGGGAGAGACATGAGGGTTATTCTTCCTCTCTCTGCTCAGTCCTATAGAGGCCTAATTCTAATTTTTCCTAATTGCGCCTCCTCAGGCATTCTGCTCAGCCTGTTATGGTACATCTTCTAGGCTGGCATGAGACCAGCTCTATCCCTGGTTGAATAAATTAGAAATTGGGGGAATTGAAGATGGTGTGCAAATTGAGTAAGGTGACATTTCTGTGTGTGACTGCAGAGACCATCTGCCCCTGGCCCCGTGATATGAAGAAGGCCTCTGGTGCTCAACCCTGCTCCAAAGTTTAATTTTATTGAGGGTGTGGGGGAGGT